CGGCGTCCGCCATCTTGCATCGGTGTCTGCCGCCGGTGCGGAGCGCTTCGGAGCGGCGATCTCACCTTTGGACGGCGCCCGGCGCCGGGCGTGCCCGCCGCGATGGGTAAGGAGGGAAAAGCGCTGAGAGCTGGAGGGTAGGGGCGGCAGAGGCTGCACCGCTTGTGGGGCGGGGTGCCCGCTGTAGGCCGGTCTGCCGCTGGCTGCGGCGGGCAGTTGCCCACATGGCAGCTCGGTCGGGGCTGGGACGGGGTGTCCGCTTCCTCAGCCAAGAGGGCTCTGCCGCCCTCCCCCTTCTCTGCCTTGCTGCCGATGGAGGGGGCTTTCCACCCCTTCTGCTGGGGACGTGAGTGAAGAGCGTCGCTGCTCGCTGTGTGTAGCCGGGCTGGTGGGTGTGTGAGTGTCCGGCCTCTCGGGCTGGCAGGTCAGTCAGTCCTGGCGGTCTCGGACCGGTCAGTCCTTCCGGGCTAGGTCGGTGCGAAGCCTGTGGGCAGCGTCCGGCCGCGGAGGGGGCGGAGGGACAGCGAGGCGCCGTGTTTAGTGAGCCTTATGTAGACAAGAAGAAAAGATGTAGTGTGATAGGTCTTAGACTATGCACAACAAGTGGGTGCAATGCAGGATGTGGTGGGTGGAGGGATTTGATGTTAAAACGAGTGTAGCTTTTTTAGCAGAGAAGTGCAGACTTGCTTGGATCTAGATGCAGAAAGTGTGAAATCAGGGACTGACAGACTTCTTGCTCTTACGATGTCTATATTAAAAGCCTTCTGGGGGGACTGAAGCTATACATTTCTCAGCTTTTCTCTTTAAAAACAGTTTTGCTGAGACCTTCCTTCCAATTGACCCTCTGTAACTCTTCAGAGAGCAGGTGTCTGGGTTACTTTGAATGTGCATTTCTCCTGTTCAGTCGATTTCTTAGTCTGACAGTTTTATTGGCACAATTAAATTAGTAAGGCATGAACGATTAAGAAAGAGATGTTCTAGGACTAGATAATCAGTAGCATTGATGGGAAATGAAGTTACATGACTATTGCAAGAAATTTGCCTTAGAAAGTGGCACACTTAGCCTTGTTGTGCAGACATGTTAGTAGTTTACTTAGGTTCTTGTGAAGCGAATACTGGAGTGAAACAGGCTGCTGAGTCCTTGTAGTGCTTTGTCTCAATGTCAGTCTAAGTCTGTTTTCCTCTCATAGCTTGTGTTTATTGCTTAGTGGTCCTTGGTACTGCTGATTAAAAAAAACAAAACAGAACCAAACAAAACAAACAAAAACCCCAAAACAAATTGTCTCAGCATGGAAGTTGCCAGAGAACTGTGCACAGCTCAGGAGCTGTAGTTTACATGTTTTCTTCTTGTAGAAGAATTCCAGACGAGTGATAGTTTCTGTAGAGTCGTGTTTTTGACAGTTGTTTCTCAGATAAAGGCTTCGGTTCTTTAAAGAAAGTCACCATGCTACCTTTTCCACTCTGATCATTCTGGTGACAGAATCATGAACTGTCACTTTTATCTTTCCACAGCTGATGTACCTGAAATGACAGTCAGATTCTAATCTTCTAAATCCATTAAAAGAACCAGTAATTAGAATGAAACAATGATTTTGTTAGTTTAAAATGAAAAAGAGTATGCCTGCCTGGATGCTACTGACCCTTACATTATTTTTCTGCACACAGATTAGAAGAAAAAGCTTAGATTCTGTTGTGTTTGTGAGACAGTGAAAGAAACAATGCCATAAGGTATTAAATGAAGCAGTAATTACTACAGGTTTTCTTCTTGGGTTTGTCCTTATTTGTAATATATTGAACATCATCTTTATGAGAGAAGGAAGGAAATTTCTTTGCTTCTTCACTGACAGAATCAAAATTTTGTGGCATACTATCTTTGGGGTTTTGTTTTTCAGTTTTCTTATAAGATGCATAGTTTCTTTTTACAGTAGCTTATGCACTTTAATGCTGTATCTGATCCTTGAGATGAGCTGTAGTTTAATCTGCAGTTTGGAAGTCCTTATCTAGGCATAGGTTTTCCGTGATTTCTGCATTAAAATTTTCTTTGATGAACTGGGTGTTGCAAACTGATGCAGGAGTATATAGTGCCTGCTGTAGATATTTTCCTAGTACAAGAGATGGCAGGTTTGGCCTTTTGGAATAATTTTGTATTTTTTCAATAGACAACATGGCAAGCCCCGGTAAAGATAACTTCCGAATGAAGAGCTACAAGAATAATGCACTTAATCCCCAAGAAATGCGCAGGAGAAGAGAGGAGGAAGGAATCCAGCTTCGGAAACAAAAAAGAGAAGAGCAGGTAAGCATCTTGGTGAGCTGTTCACTGTTCAGTGCCTGTGGAGCTATATTCAGGGGCCTAAAGGACTTGAGCCTACTCGTCCTCTGGAGTGGAATCCAGGAGTGCCAGATTGAATGT